TCTAAGAAAAGAGAGATTTCTTTAAAGTTGGAGACAATGTTTTTCTCAAGGTTGTTAGCAATAAAAATACTTCCATTGAATGATGGTTTTATAAACTGAGCATGGTGGTGCACACCTGCAAACTCAGTACTCAGGGGCCTGAGGCCAGAGGATCACCACAAGTGTGAGGCTTGTCTCCAATATATATATAATGAGTTCAGGAACAACCTGAAGTACATATCAAGACACTGTCTCCAAAATAAGATTTGGTTTTACAAAGGCAATGTCCATTGTTTTCTGTGTGCAGTAAGTTTTTTTTATTAAAGAAAATATACTATATATAGCTCAAAATGTTAACTATGCTATGCTTTGGATCTCATGAGAAATCTAAAGGAATTTTTTAAATGATTACATAAGGAAACACAAATAAGATTAGACTTTACAAATGTTCATAACAACACCTAAGTCATCTCTTGCTGGATATAAATTCAAGTATTTTTGGCTTCTTAAGGATTATAAAAAGATAACATTTTGATTTGTTGAATGACTTCATAAACTATATATATATAGTTTATATATATAATATATACAATCATATATATGATATATACAATCATATAATATATAAACTACATAAACTATATATAGATAGATAGATGATGAAGGTTGCTTTTATAAGTTGAAAGAAATTTCTAATATGTGATTTTATACTAAAATAATATTTTTAAAAATGGAGCCTAAGTGGAGGGCCATTGGATCTGGGAAACTACCAGGCAAAATATACCTGTGGCTGAAAATGTAGCTGACTGAATCAAGTTACTTAACATTTTGTCCACTGATAGGTGGCTTCTCTGGTTTTAACTAGTCTTATTATGTCCCAGTCCAACAAAGGTTATTTAAAAATTGTACAATATCAAGCTGACCAAAATAACGGAGTAGCAATCAGTAACAGAATAAAGCCTCTGCACAACCTAGAAGAGCATCACCTGGAAAACAACAACTGAGCAAATGGAAAAAAATAAAAGGATATGTTTGGGAAAGGAAGAAATCAGGAAGACTGACCAAAGAAGTGAAAGATTTCTGCAATGAAACTACAATGTTCAGGAAAAGTAGATCAAAGAGGACATCAGAAAGGGAAAAGATATCTGCTCTTCTGTATAGGCAAAATCAATGTAGTCAAAATTGTGATACTCTCACTGCTGATATACAGATTTAATGCAATCCCAATCAAAATACCAAATAGCATTCCTCCCATAATGAGAGAAATCACCCCCGAATTCAAATGGAACCAGAAGAGACCTAGAACACCAAAAGAAATTCTTGGCAGTACTTCTTCAGGAGGCCACAGGATTGTGGCCGTCTGGCTTCCCGGAGCCACTGGGAGTAAAGTCGGCTTTTGTCTCTAGGTGACAGTGACACTTCACTCTCCATTCTGGGAGAGACTCTAGCAAGTTTCTATACCCCATTACTTTACCTTGTTGCTATTAACTTAGGCTCCAGTTAGTACACAGCAGTGACTGACTCCACTCTACTCACTGTTTTATCTGTCTGTCTCCATCTTTGACAATGTCACCTCTCCTTAGGCTTTAGACAGCTAACTTCAGGGTAGGTATAGTAATGGCTACCTCTGGGAATTTGGATGGTGTTATCCCCTGCATCTTTCAGTGTATATCCCTACTTCTCTTCTTGAGAAATGAGCTCAGACCTAGGGCTTCTTTTCCTTCTGTTCTGCTTCCTGTTCCTCATCATGATTAGGGGTGGGCTGGAAGGAAATGACTTGGCTCCTGAAGTGAGTAGTGGCTGGGCACAACCCTGTCAAATAGTCCATACTTGGTCTGGGAATATTCAAGTATTTTTGTGTAAGTGCCTTCCTGGTAAGTGCAAGGTCCTGAGTTTGATTCCCCGTACCAAAAAAAAAAAAAAAAAAAAATAGTCCATACTTCCTGGCATCCCCTGCTATATATAGTCTATCTCAGGGATCGTACACATAAGTGTATTAGAGGGTTGGTAGGACTTTTAAGGTTCTATAAACACTTTTAATCTTACAGAAACAAGGTAGCATTACATGGTGTTCACAAAGAATTTTAACCAGAGAGGGTTGAAGGAGGTTCCCAAAAGCAGAGATGGAAAACCTTGACTCACCCCACCTACGAAGTAGGTGGTAGGTTCCCTACAGAAAAATAACTTTCAAGATACATCTGTGAAAGCTATAAAGTGATTTATTAGGCAGAATTTAAAGGTACACACTCAGCCAGGTATGTTGGTGTGGTCCTGCCTGTACTTCCTGGGCAACTTAGCAATTTAGGAAGACCCTGTCTCTAAATAAAGTACAACAGAGGGCTGGGATGTCAGTATAAAGGTCCTCAGAAGACAGAGGCACATTATGGTTGGAGGTGAGGCTTTTTATATGGACTTAGGGGGTGTCCTCAAGATAGTAACCTAGGAAGTGTATTCCCTGCATCTCAGAGTTACCCACCTGGAGTGCTATGTTAGAATGTAACCATTTACATGTGTTTGAAACTGACATATGTTTTCCTATCAACAGTGTACTTTCTTGAGGATGGAGGTCTGTTGGAGGGAACAGAATTTATAATGTGAAAGGCTCCAGTTTACAGGCTCGCTATGTTTAAAACAAGGAATTCAGATATTTTTAAATGAATTTTCTAGAAGGTAAAAGGGCCTGAGTAGCTTTGTGTCCTAAAGCTGTGGTATTTATCAAAAGTAAAATTTTCAAATTATGATTTTTTTCTTTTCTCCTTTCTATCTTTATTTCCTTATCTCATTTCAAACTGACATAATAAATCTGATTTAAGTTTATTGTTTTCAGTTTTTTTCCCTTTTATGGAAAGCAGGACTTTATTAGTATTTGACTAAAAACAAATGGGAATTCTTTCCATTGTTTCTTAAGAGAGTACACACTGATTTCTTTCCTCGTGTTACTTTTAGCCCTTTTGAGATTTCTTTGATGGTTTTGCTTTCATCGTGATCTTGTATGACTTTTTACACTATCAAAATACCATTGCCAATGAAAATAAATGCTTGCCCACCCCGAAGAAACGTTAGGGAGAACAGAAAAACTCTGCCTGAGTTTACGCCTTTTCCAGAGCACTTTCTCCTGACTTAAGTTTTAACACTGCCCCTGTATTTGATAGTGTTTGGGAGAACAAAGGTAGAAATAGAGAGACACTGGGAAATATTGCCTTGATATGGTGCCTGGGGGTGGTGGACTGGACCAGGATTGTTGGAAACAAAAATGGGGTAAAAATTGTGCCTCTGTGGCTTGTAGCACATGTCTCCTAAACTCGTAACCAGCTGGTATGGTCAATGCTCCAGCTGGGCTCCTCCAGCCTACAGGTGCAATACATCCATCTCCTCCTCCGATCCCAGTATCTTCTCCCAAACTACTTCTTGTAGCTCATTCCAGAAGATACAAGTTGAACAGACCGAAAGGAGTAATGCAGGATTTAAGTTAATAAATATAGAAGTAAGGTATCAATGACATGAAGGAAGAGAAAGCCACTGATCCACAAGTCTTTGCTGTAAGCAACAGAAGCCAATTTAGGTTGCCTTAGGAATTTATGATAATGGTACTGGGGCCATCATAACATTGCCAGACTAGACAGAGAGCCAGGTTCTACGAAGCACAGCTGGCGTGGACAGCCCCTATCATGTGCCACAACTCGGTAGTCTTTACCAGTGTCTTTACCACCAGCAGCAAGCGAAAGTCTTTACTTCTTGCCCCTCTGAGCCCACTAGCACTGGGTACCATTACTGCCACCAGCTTTGCTGCCACTACTTCCCTACTGATTCGATTTGAATGCAATTTCTCAGTCTTTCCCTCTTTGAGTCACCTGTTAGAGTCAAGGTAAGTCATACATGACCATGACCTAGTATAAGAGAAGCTAGGAAAGAAAGGTTTTGGCATTTTTATTTCCTATTAAGTGGGCATTTTACCATGCTAATAATGCATTTACCATGGCCAATAAGGTTGGGGAAATCTCAAACATAAAAGAGAATTTAGATGATAAACAAACCAAAATCAGGTGAGCTTCCTTTCTTAACATCCCAGGGTACTGAGGTTACAAGTGTGTGCCACTGCACCTGTTCTTTTAGCAAGTGGTATCCTCCTGAGAAAGATACCTTAAATAATTTGAATAGTTGTTTGAATATTTTTGTATTATTGTCATATGAAAAAATTTTTATTTAAGAAGCATCTGTGTGATACACATATGTACATATGTACATAGAAATATATACATATGGATAAATAGATGACATGTTCCAATCTTAACAATATAATTATAAGATGTGATATCTGCCTAGATCCAGCCAGACCTAGAGCTAAACAAATCACTTTGATTTCCAACTATTCAAACAAATAAATTACCTTCTAGGTTTTAGTTAGCTTAATAAGAGTTTCTGTCACTTGCACCTAGGAAAGTGAAATAAAATATATATATTTAAGTATTATTAGTATCTAACATTCATTGATTCTATTTGTTTGGTCTTACTAAATGTACTTATATGAGGCATATTTAAGTAACATCAAGTATTGTAGATGGAATAATAAAATGTGAAATGATGGTAGATTTTTAAAACTTTATAGGTATGATAAATTTCATATTATAAATTTGTCATCACTAAGGTTTAGCCTTTCTTGATATGTGTAGGTGGGACACATACATGTTTAACAAAAAGAAAAAAGGTTCTGCAGTATTTTGAAAAATCATTTTTAAGTTCCAGGCAAGACAAGTTCTATTTCTTCCTGGAAAGATAATTGTTTTGACATGGATTTAATGTCATTGTCTGAAGAAAAGGAGTAGATTTTTAACTTATTCTGTTTATAAAGTATGCGAGGAAAAGAGCAAGAAAGTACTCATTTCCACAACAAAACTCAGACTTTTTGAACCAGGAAAAGTAAAAGATCACATTCTTACACTGCCCAACTTGTAATTGTTCATGTAAAAGTTATAAGATGAACCTTGTGTTTTAACTTAGTTTTCCCTTTCCCTTCTCCTTACTTCAGAGATCTGATGCCATCAAACTGTTTTAAAGAGGCCTCCTCCAAAAGATTCCTCTTGTAGAACATGCATATATTTGAAAAATGTTTTCCTTTAAAGAAAATAGAGAGAGAAATAAAAGTCTTTATATTCTGTGACACATTGTATCTTCAGACAGTTTGGAGAATTGAAAATCAGAGATTTTAAATCATAAATTAAGCATGCAAAATTCCAGCAAAATATAAAAACAAAGGAGGCCTTGCTCTTAAACTTGTATCGTTACTTAGCAAGACTATATATCAGTTTTGCCAATGAGACTGTAGACTTCATGAATGTTGTTGAACTCCTGGGTCAAAACTCAGATGAATCCAGCTTTGCCTGTAATGGGTTTATTTGCCAGGAAACATCATTTAATAATCATGGGAATCAAATAATAGATGCCAACACACATAGCACATACATTTAATATTTGGTTTAAGGCCTATATTACTTCATGGAGCATTAAATCAGTGTGGTTGTAATCATTGGTTTGTTCTTTTAATGATTACCAGAACTATAGATAATATTTACCAAGGACCATACAAACATTAATGTTTATTGCCTACTAATTTAAAAATGAAATCTTACACCATAATGACCGGAGATAATAAGGCCCAACAATCTGTCCAACTCCCAAAATTGAATTTCCACAAACTCAAAATTCTCCAAATTATTCTCACAGTAACTTTCAGATGATAAGTGGTTTGTGCTTCCATTAGATATCTCAAAAAGTCAAAAACCATTTGAATCTGCCATTGCTGCAACCACTAACAGTAGTAATAGTAGCTGTCATTTGTTGAGCACTTGCTTTCCTCCAGGTGCTGTGCTAAACTTTTTATACATATGTAATCTCATTATATCTTCCTCATAGCGCACAATTACTCAATAAATTTTCCATTGCAAATGCAAAATATCCAGCTCAAAACCTTTTGAGTAAAAAAAAAAGGAATAAGCTCATGAACTCGGCAGTTTTGAGGTACAGTTAACTAAAGACATAGCTGAATCCACAGCCTAGAAAGAGTCCATCAGGATGCTTGATTTCCTCTCAGCTCTACTTCCCTCTAAATTGGTTAATTCTGAGATTAGCCCCATGTTAATTTAAAATGAATGACATTAGCTCCATGTTTACATCCATTGTTGTGAAGCTTGTTTGTGTGCTTTTCAGCACATGCAGTGGTACCTTGATTCACGAACACTTTTGTTTGCAACAATTTGGTTCACAAAGAGAAGCATTTGGCAAAATCTTGGTTTTGTTTGCAAACTGTGACAGTCATGTATGACAAATGTGACTGTGGCCATCTTTCCCACACAAACACAAATGTACCTATCTTTTCCAAAATTGTAGCAAAAAATTAAGTTCATGAACCAAGACACCACTATACAATACTATACAGTATTATTCAATTCATCATGGCTCCAGTTGTGACTAGGCCACTGTGGAGGCCTACAAGAAAGAATCTGAGAAACTCATGAAGCCAGAAGGATACATCACTCTAAGTGTTCAACTCCAATGAAACAGGGAGATGCCAAACAGGACCTATATACATGGAGGAAAAAGGGCACAAGCCTATGAAAGACAGACTGACCCTTTTATTGGGCATGAATACAAGCACTGATCTGGAGATTAAGCCACTACTGGTGCACCATTCCCAGACCCCTCATATGTGAAAGGAACAGAATGTGAACAAGGTCAGACTGCCTGCATGTGGTGGGCCAATGTCAAACCTTGGGCCACAAGGCAATTGTACACGGAATGGCTGTACAAGGTTTTTGCAGCCACCATTAAGAAATATCTCTGATGACTACTTGCCTGAAAGGTGCCTTCTGATGAACAATGCCCCAGCACATCCTCCAGCCTCAGTGAATGATGTGAGCAAGGAGTTCAAAAGGTGTTTTAATGTCATGAAGGACATCATTAATTCTGAAAGAAGTCTGCAAGAAATATTTCAGTGTCTTCCACTGCATGAACCTCATTGGCAAAGCCTGAGAAGATGTCATTCACTGGACCTGGAGGAAACTGTGGCCAGAATGCTCCACTGAAAATGACTTTGAAGGGTCTGATGCACAGGTAGTGGAGGAGACTGGGTCTGTGACCTTATTAGAGATACCAGAAAACATTATCTCTCCACCGTACAAGGACACAGTGAGAAGGCAGCCATCTACGAGCAAGAAAGAGAATCCTCACCAGAAACTGGCACCTTGGTTTTGGACTTCTCAGCCTCCAGAACTGTAAAAACTTTCTGAGGTAGCCCAAGCAGACTAATATATAACCCTAGAGAGATTTCCCCCAACAATGCTGGAAAAGATCCAGTTGATGCTGAGTTGCTTTGGTCAGATCACATGCCCACCACTGAACCAATCACTTTGGCGAGAGTTAACAAGTCTGAAGACAACCCTACCTGAACTATTTGCACCAAATTTAAAGAGAAGTTAATTTTTAAAGAGAGTCATTACCAAGAGGAGGAAGTGATGCAAAGGGAAAGGACACAGGGCTGAGCAACCTCAGAAACCTTTGGAAAAAGTCTGAACCTTATTCACTGCATGTAAAAGGAAGCTGAGAGAAGTTAAGTGACTTACTGAAAAAGCCCTGTCTGCACCGTGACAGAGAAAGTCTCAAGCCTGAACTCAGATCTACTCCTTCAACTCCTTGATGATGAAGATCTTAGGTATGATGTATAGTGCTATTTGAGCTCTCTCCATGGCCAACTTCCCCTGCTTTCCTGCATTAAAATAAAAGTTAGCAGAATGGTAAATAAGTAATATCCCTCTTTCTCTGTAACTATTATCAAAATATTAAAAACAAAATCCTCCACCAAAATGAAATGTGAATTCCCTCTACAAAAAAAAAAAAAAAAAGATTACTATTCTGGGTTGAACCAATGGTGCATTCAGCCCAATAACATCTTTAACAATTCGTTTGGGATGTGACTTGTTCCTGCATTACAATCTTAATAAGTATTTCCCCAAGCATGACAGGGTCCCTTAATCATGGCTAGAGGGGCTGGGGATTTAGCTCAGTGGCAAAGTGCCTGCCTGGCAAGCGCAAGGTCATGAGTTCGGTTCCCGGTACCGGAGAAAAACCAAAAA